AAAGTTCCCATAGTCTTCGACATCAAAGAACTTATCCAAGAATGGGATGATAGTAATTTAGGAGACATTTGGGCAAAGAACTGTTAGAACACTGTTATTAGATCCCTTTTTCTTGGAGTTGTAACGTCGGTTTCTTTTTAGAAGTGACTTTCCTTTGGTGATTATCATCTAATGTTTAACCCGTTGTTTGCCTTTAATGTGTTGTAACAGCAGTTCTCATGTGTGGCAGCCTGGGTAACTTAAGCAGCGCCATCTACATTTGTGACTTACATTTCCTGGGATTAGAACTTGACCCGAGATCCATTGATTTGCGGGTGCAGAAGTAAAGTGTTCGGCCGCCCTATACTTACTAATGATAGCATGTGTTAGAACCATCACAGCATGGTAGATCACACGTTTCCGTTGATGTCTGATTTTAGTTTTAATAAATATCGTTTGAATAAGAGGGCCCCACATCATTTTCTTCTGCTGTTCTACCATTATGGAGATGATAACGGAGATAGATTCATTGCCATTTGTGATTTAATAAAAGAACACTACACCATTGCTTTTCTTAGAGGCCATTGTGTTTCAGTGGCGCTTCATCGCTTCCGTAGATGTGCTCTTAGGGTTCGTTCTCTTTTCAACCTCTGTTGTAAACGGCTGCAATATCGGACTAAGATATGCACGTGCTTGACTAACGGATGCTCGAACATGCAGTACAAAACCAGAGGTCGCCTTAAAAGCTGTTTCGATCTCTCACTTTTCTTTGGGAAAGTTTTGTACACTTTGAATGGTGCCAGTCGGAACAATGTAAGCGGGCTAGACTAAGTTTGACTAGTAGATTACAAACTCTCTATCCGCAAACACCATTCGCTTGAAGCTATTTATGAATTTGAATCTACCTGCTTTCTGCTACTTAGGGTTGTGTTGTTCTGCTCACTCAGATGGTTGGTAATGTTTATTTTCTGGCGTTGGTCAACTGCGCAAACCAGTCAGTGGAATGATGTGATTAGAAAGGCCACTTGATGACAGACCAGAGGCGATGTGATCGCGTTGTACTTTGTTAATTTTTAACTCGGTGCGCTGATAGACATAATTACACAAGATGATGATTGACCTTAGGTTATCTATAAACTCCGTTTGATTGCTAAGCGAGCAGTAACGTACTTTGAAATGCGTGGTATCTACTGCAAATGTTGTAGGAGGGGCACGATTTTTGTTTGACTTGATCTGTGAAACGAGTGTAAAATATGCATTAACCGTTTGAAAACTCGCGTAGTTCCACGTGTAGAGTTCAGAAAAGAAATCTGTTAAAAACCCAGCTATGAATCAGAAGTTGATGCGATAGGAATAATCTGGAAGATAAGTGTGCACCTTGTAGAGCTGATAGATGGAGTTGAATGAATGTAAACTCAACGATTTGAGCAACGTAGTGAAGAATGTCATACAAAAGGCAAGCTTCTCAAAGCAGTGCGTCCACATACTGTGAGGCAGTTTTTGACTGTTTGTAAGACAGTAATGTCCTCTAGTGTTTTACTGGATGTATGGTGGCATTCTGTCTGTCTAGCCGCGATAAATCTACTCAACGATACAATAAGCCGCATTTCACTCATTAGTGGACTATCAGTTTCATTATTATTTCCCTGGTTACTCGATTATTGAGGTTGACATTTCACATGAGTCCTCGTTTGGACTCATCAGGTGAAGATAGCCTGAGCTAGGGGTGTACCTCGTGGCCTAGTAGTTAAGGGGCTGGTTCCTTGATCACTATAGCCTGTATTTTCAAACTCTGATGTCAATTCGTTTGTTGGCTACGTTATTTTAGATTTCATCCGAGTGCAGCGCGAAAACGATGTCACGTGACCTAACCGTAGCTAGGAGGGTGGCTCAGGAAGAAATGATTACAGAAAGTTCCCTTGGTGTCCGCTTACTGCATCTTCGTAGCAAGGTACCTACGCAATGTTTCTCGATTCACATAAGGAAAATGTTTGGGTTTAGAGTTAGTATGCTACCGCAGTGCCCTGTAGCCGCTGCTTGCGGGAATCGCTTGACGGTAATTACGAAGCCGGGGAGATCAAGTAAAATCCAGTAATTGAATGGACTTTTAATGGAACTACAGTCTATGGTCGCGAACCTTTGCCGTGTGCGCCCTAGTCACTTAGCATGGAGATTGTTAGAGGTTTGAAACTAACGCATATAAAGAAACAAACATGAGTGTTTGTGCCAGAAGGATAAACAATGTAAGGCTGTCACAGTCAATGACTAGGTTTACAAAAGGAAACACTGATCACAGCATTTTTGATGATCTTCCACTACTATAGTTCAATTTGGATCTAAAACCTTGGTCTTATGGTAGCTGTGACCTGTTATTTTGCACCTAACAATGCCATCCATTTTAATACGATGTAGATGCAGACGTAAAAGTTAATGGTGTTAGTTTTTGCAAAAGTAATATCTCTGTGTTTAAATAATGTCTTTTGCTATCTTCACTATGACTTCCTGTGGTTTACGGCTTCATTCGTAAACAAACTAGTATGAACAATTTTTCTAAACACCTTCAAATCACGAACGAATTTTTGACCTTTAGTTCACTTCAGAAAAACCATTTTGTCAAAAGTAATAGTGCTGGTTAAACATCGCCTCCACGTTGCTTGCAATGAGGAAATACTTTTGACGCTAAAGCACTGTTTTTGGTGAAATTATCCCATTTGTATTTATAGCAAAACCGATTGGTGAAGTTGATTGCAGAGATTAGACTGATGATTTATTTGTTAACTTCAACTTGTACTCTCAGTAATCCTCCTCACAAGTGTTAAAAACCTCCTAGAGGTTTATTAGTTTGCCCTTGAGGTCAATATCAGTTCAATATCAGTTTTTCTTTTAACAATCCTGATGTGTCGGATCGAGAGACGTAGAATCATGTTAGGTTCGACCCATATACTTGGGACAAACGGATGGCAGACCAGCTTCCAGGAACGTGACATTGGTGTGCTCGTACAGAGCGATCTCAACTGTTCAACACAGGCTGAGGTTGCAGCGAAAAGTGGCGAGCAGCACGTCGGCATGCTGCGAAGAACATTCGGGAAATTTGACCCATCAATCTTCCCAAAGATGCACAATTCCTACGTGCGCCCGCATGTTGAATACGCTATTCAAGCTTGGCAATCTTGTTTGAAGCGCGACCTAGATGCGTTAGAGGCATCTCAAGGAAGAGCAACAAAGAATTAAAGGGCCTGCGCTATCACTCTTACCATCGAAGAGTGAAGTTGCTGGGAATTTTCAGCGGACGCTATCGAAAGCTGTGCGGTGGTCTCATATTAGCTTATCAAATACTGAATGACCCCAACCACGTATACCACCATTTGCTGCAACAGCCGCAACATGCAACTCAGGGGTAACTACTTAAAATTGAAGGAACAATATAGCAGTCTGGAGTGTCGACGGAATTACTTTTCCTTTCGGGTTTGCCAACCATGGAACGCACTCCCAGACTCAGTTGTATCCTCCTTTACCTTGGACGTTTTCATAAAACGATTAAATGTTGCTTTTAGCTCCCAGCATTTTGTTACCTAAACTCCTCTATTGTGGATTAGGTCAAGCATGTTTTTCAACAGTATTTATGTATCAAATTGACCCAGGTGATCGAGAGCATTTTACTTTGCTCACGCCTTACATCAACGATCACTGCACTCCAGTGTCTTTCTGAACGTTTACGCTCGATTTTATTTCAAATTTTACGCTAATGTAACTTATCGAATTGTTCATCTAGACAAACGTTCGATAGATGACTCAGAAATATTTTGATTTCATCATATTCACCTCAACCCTCCTGCGGGACGTGTCAAGTACTTGGTTTTATCCCGTGATAAATTATTGTTCATTGTTCATTGACCATCGGTTCCTTCCCAAACTAGCTCAAATATGATGTGAACGCCATGTGAGCAGTATGCTTGTTCGGAACCCTATTTTTGGCGCTTGTAAAGCTGTTATTTCACACGCTAGGCATCTGTTGTTGGAACAAGTGATAAAAATGGCAGCAAATCGAACCCTTTCGACCTAAGTTGCTTGCAAGACTTGAGTCTGGGTGGTAAAATGGTTAGTACAACCAGTGAAATCGGCTTTAGTTGAAGATTTTCGATATTGTAATTCGGTCCTAAGGACGATGAAAAGGTTTGGTTGAATACACTTACTGACATGACACAGAATGGACGCCCATATGGTTTGCGCCGTTTCCTTATCCATCCCGTCACGCCTTGCCCCTACCTGTATCAAGATCTAACTATAGATAAATAATATGGGACAAAGCGTTGCATTACAAGGATCAAATTTCGCTTTCTTACTATTAATTGAATATCTTGCTGTTTTGTTTAGCGGAACCGTGGCCAAATTTCCTACCAACAGCTAACGTGTACTTCACTAATAAAGATCGTATTCACTAACGATTAACAAGCTGGTTAAGTCTGAAATGTTTTTTGGGTCTACCAGCTGGAGCGCGACTAATACCATCTACGAAGAAGTATCCACTTCATTTAGGTTCAGTATAATGGTGCCGCCAAGGGATACTTCAACCTAGTAATGTAGCCTTTTATGGAAATAGCACTTCTCACTGCAAATTATTTATGATGATTGATAATTTGTGAGGTACTAAGAGATTTATTTTTCAGATCGTCTATAGAACACTGTCGATCAAAACGTTAAAGAAAAAGAATGTGACTAAAGGGAACAACATTTTTACATGCACTTTAGGTGATATGTGTTCTATTCCATGAAAAACGCTTAGTAAAACCACATCTTGGATTGCTATTAGAACCCGACCATGATGGGATGGAGATTTCAAGGAAAGTGCAATTGCTACCTTAGCAGAATTTTGTTTTGTTTGCTTTGTTTCTGTTTCCCCATTCTTAAAACTAAGCATTCTAGTAACATGATGCAATGTTTTTTATTGTGCTATACTACTTATTCAATGAATCTTTAATTACAGTGCTATTCCAACTTTCTTCTCCTTACTGTCAATACAGACGTAGTTGGCTCATCGAAACTTCTTCGAAGCGAAACTCTGAATCCTATCGGACACAGCTGCTTTACGTGAGCTATTTCCTTTGGCATTATTAGTAACACTACAATTATGCCCTTGAATGATAATTTTATATTATGCAACTGAAAGTCAACTAATTTCCTTGGTAAAGTCAGTTTTGCCATACAAATTAACGCTTTCCGTCCATCGTGTGGTTGCATCTATTAACCCTATGCGTTACTTCATGTAGAAATACCAATAACCAAAATACTTGCAAGCAGTGAGACATTTTAACTTTTATCCGTGCTTTCTATACAGACATTGTTTTATTTGTAGTAATTTGATTATTTCTAGAAAGCGCCTACCACAGCCATGAACTACAAAATTTCAAGGCTATCAGATGGATTATTAAGCTTGAAGTTTTGCGTTGAAAAGCCAATTGGTTTCAGATTAGTATGCTTCATAAGTAAACTTAACGCCGCCCGTTTAACCAGATTCCTCGATGGATAGTATACACTCTTACGGGGTGTTGGTTGATTGCACTGAAACACATTATTGTGTCTACAATTCATCACGTCAGTGAACATATTCACGTTGTACCAAGTTGTTTTCTTCCAGTGTCTACAAAAGCAACGACAACCTCAGGTTGAACAGGGCGAAGAAAGAAAACACAATGTTTCTTTGTTTATTTAGTGGAACGTGATTGGAGGTTATAATATGTTGAAGGTTTATTCGCAATTGCTCAACGTCATAGAGCGTCTCATGCGTTTCGTAAAGCGCAGCACGACCGCTTTCTCTTAATGACACTGCTCAGTACTTCCCAACACAGGCTGCAGCAGGAACCCAACCCACGACATCGTGACACTAGATGCTTAAGCCACAGAGCAACTGTTTATGTCTGATTTCAGGAAACAACAGTGATTCCCAGCATTGTGTTCTTCGCCTCAACTTCACATTAAGCAAGTTTCTTTTCTTATTTACACCAACCTAGAGATACATTTGAGTTCCTGCTTGGATTTAAGCAACTTGAGTTGGAGTCACTAAACCTTTTACACGGTGGGGCTGAGTACTAGAAAATAACTTACGCGGGCCGGATGAATGACAAAATGTTTAGTGTGGACCGCATAACGATTATGAAACATAGTTGCAAGCCAAAACGATTTTGCGAAAACAGACCAAGAAAACATGACACTCTTTGTTCGCTATTCCTTTCTTAATAACCTTAATGAAAGCCGAGATGTAGCGGATCTTAAAAATAAAACGATATTGCATTGAGAACATAAGCCAAATTCTATGCAAAGGCCAGGAAAACAAAGGAGTTATGGCCATCGATAACACTGTACCTCATCAGGTACACGCAAATCTTATTAATACCTTCGGTAATATATCACATAGGAATGTTTGCAACATATATATTTAGGCGGGGAGGCGTTTTGAAGGCTTGATCAAAGCGTTTCCCCGAAACAAAATCAACAAACATTGCTCGGTCTGTCTACCGGTGTTACGTACAGGCATTTGGCAGCAACAAATTTACGAACCTCAATAATTTGAGATTCCAGCTCAATTCCGTACTAACCATTCTTTCCAAATACCGTGCAACTATGACCAGAATGACACATAAACTAGTGCTCTCCTAATAAAAGGTATTACATATGACACTTGCTTCAACGGAGCTGACCAACGGAAAACACGGCAAAAATGTATGAGGTGAGCAGAAACATAATGTGATGCACGGATGAATTGGTTTCATGCGTGAGCACTCGCATCAATGCTCCAACGATGTTGGGTCACAAATGGTATGGCAGTACGGCGTCAAAAGTAACAAAGATGAGCTGGCTCACGTTACTGTTCAAACAGTATAAGGTCAGAAGAAAATACGACATGCAGTGCAGTTGTAAGTTATATTACAGCATCTTGTATTCCATAAGCTTTAAATAACAACTTAGGATATAGTCGGCGGGCCGGAGGAATTGTCATCGCGAGGTGGATCCGGCTCGCAGACCGTGGTTTGGTGACCTCCGATCTAAGAGAAACATTAGGTTTTTAAATGTCTGGCAAGGTTTGTCGAGAAGAAAGTAAGAATTGCTCAAAAATCCATTATTTCCATGATAAATCGATTGTTTACGATTGTCGTATCGGGTCCGAACATTCTGGAATATTATACTGTCTGCACAAAATTACCAACGTTCCTGAACAGCGAACCAATCTACATGGAACAAGTAACTTTGGTAGATGACGTTCTACTTCTAGTAGTCTAGGGTCATGAGTCAACCAATAAATATGGCCATCGTCTGCCTCCTTGGTACACGTTCATTTTGACTGCGGTTAGAAAAATCTTATGAACATGGTCGTTTTGACCTTTTCCTTCGTTTGGTTGTAAGGTCGTGCGGAATAGACCAAGTGCAATTTTTAGAAGTGCCGGAAGTGAGAGGACTTGACAAATCGTGACGGAAAAGACTGGCAATGTGGTGCATTTTTTGCGTTGAACAATTTTAGTAGTTGCTTTTGGAACAGAAATCCAAATAGAGGCTCAAATGAAAGTGATTGAAAATTTGACGAATTTGCTTAGTTTGTAGTCTGCAGGAGCAGCAACGCGATACAAGCAGGCGAATTCTGTTGAGTTTCTTCTAATGCGATCAGAGAATTTAATTGGGACGCAGATTCCGGTCGCACTTACGAATCAAGGTTCAAACCCTGGAAACATTTGTTTTGGACAGCCTTTATGCTTTAGCACGATCCTTGGAAAATGAGATTGTTACTTCGCAAGCTCGGCACGAACAAACATTCGCGATTCATCGAGCATTTTCTGCTCAAACAACCAAAGGACCTGACTTACGACGAAGCGGTGCCACAACTCAGTGAAATATTTGGTGAGTTAGCTCCTCTATTCAGCATTCGTTATGAATGTCCAGAGATTGTCAAACGGGAAATGGACGATTATCGGGTGATAGAAAACATGATTGACCAGGCGTGTGAGCTGTTTAGGTTACGATATTTGACGGACGGCCAATTTAAGTGTCCCATTTTTGTTAGTGCTCTGCAGTCCCTTATGATGCTGAGATTCGCACGAGGCGTTTTGCTAAGCTTGACAAGACCCGGAGTTAGCACTATTGACACTTTGTGGCGAGTTTAAGCGACTGATTAGTTTGAAGCATGACACTGCCCTGATCAAACAGTGTCGCCCTGCCTTATTCGATGCCACGCAAGCTGTGGAAATGTCAGGAACGCTAGCCGAAGTTAACCGTTCGAAGAAGCCCCTAACAAAACCCCCACATCCTGCTGGTCGTGCGGCGAAAGGCGTTTTGCGCATTTCTTCCCATTCAAACGTTACATATGAGCAAAATGGCGTAAGCGTGGCCCTAAGGTGGAATTCTGCAGCCAGGTACGGTCAAACAACGCAAAGAAACTCTACCATTCGAAGTACGCTCCAAAGCATGGTAGAGAATCATTTTCGGTAATTACCGCATTTCAAAGTGAATCTTAGCCGCTACGACGATTCATCATCGAGCTAATCAATGGTATCCCAAAGAAGCTGCAATTTGACACGGCCTTAGAAATTACATTTATTTTCAGGAACACTCGGGATCACGGAAAAAGTCAAACATTGATCAAGTCTCCCAGAATTGCCCATCATGCAACCGGCGGTGTAAACAATTTAAACGCAGAAATTACTTGCTCAATGGCATATAACGGTATAGAAGTAACACGGAAGGTTTACATGTCAGATAGGCCGAAGTTGAATTTTTGACTTATACTGCATTGAAAAGTTGCGACTGTTGTATGTTCCATTAAAACAGATTTGCAATAGAATTCTAGCGAATCCAGACGCATCAACGAAACTAGTCAAAGAGATGACATATTTGCTGAAGCAAAAATTTGACCCTGTGTTTCAGCATAGCCTAGACCTTTGCAGCATATGCACATCGACGTTGTCCCTGCAACCAAGAGATAAGCCAGTTATTAAAGCTAAATGACCGGTGCCGTATGCAGCGATAAAATTCTTTGAGTAAGAGCTTGAGCGAGTTGAAGGAATCAGCGTCATAATATCTGTAAATTAAGCCTCATGGGCTACACCTTTTGTCTCAGTAAAAACGTTCGCTGCTAATGTACGCCTCTGCTTTTATTTACCAACCAAGATTGACCTGTCTGATGCATACCTTCAGGTAGATGTTACGGAGAACTCGAAAGAGTTATTGACGATCAACACCCACCGTGGGCTGTACCAGTACAACCGCTTGTATTTTAACACAAACTAGGCACCAAGCGTTTTTCAGCAGTTGTATACTATGTTGGCAAGAGTTCCTGGAGCGGTCGCACATCTCGATAACAACAATGTAATGGGCCAAACAGCGGAGGAATTATTTAATCACTTGGAGAAGGTGCTTGGTCGTATCCAGTCATATGGTTTCCGGCTTCGTAAAGATAAATGTACTTTCTTTACTCTGACCATCAAATGCCTTGGTTTTATCTTTGAAAATAATGTCCGCCGACCAGATCCGGCAAACAGCGAATTCATAAGAAATTTGCCTCCACCAGCAGATGTTCAATCGCCATGTACCTTCTGTGGTCTCATCGGTCACAACAGCGCACTTTTGCCTGAGCTGCATCGCCTGCGGGCTCCACTGAACAAGCTTCTAACAAAAAGCCAGACTTAGAACAAGAAGCAAAAATGTCAGCGTATCTTTAATGGAATCAAGTCATTACTGGCCTCAGGCTTATTTCTGAATCATTACGACTCAACTCAGCAGATCTTTCTCGCAACAGACGCATCAAATCAGGGCTCGGATCAGTTATTTCGCACTTGTACCCGGATAGATCCCAGAAAGCGATCGCTCACATAGCCAGGACTTTGATAAAAGCCGACAGAACTACAATCGGATTGAAAGGAAGTGTTAAACATAACTTTGAAGTGAAGAAATTTCATATGATGCTATATGGTCACCTATTAAATCTACTGACAGATAACGAATCATCGCTTGCTATCTTCGGCTCAAAGAAGAGCATCCTGACTATACAACTAACTGTCTCCAACACTGGGCACTCACACTACTGGGCTATGATTTTGAAATCA